GCTTTTGACTCTAAAAAAATATATATATAAATATAGATTTTGTTGAGTCATGCAAGAACTAAAAAATAATGTGTGAATCCCCATGGATTTTTGAAAAAAAAAAGTATAAAACTTTTTCAAATCTATGCAAAATATTTGTGTAGACTATTCAGTTATTTAATATAATCTTATTGTTTTCCAGTGAATAAAGTAAAAGTAGAGCACCCAATTAAACATTCCTGTACAGGGTAATAAGGCTGCTGCTGTGTGAAGTGAAGTGGGATGTAAATTTATTGGCAAAAGTAAAAAGATTAATGAGATTCAGGATTTCCAATAGTGTTTTTAAACATCTCAAAACCCAGCATTGGGAAAATAAATACCTGCAACTTTTAACATGAGCCCCAATTCCTTTACGAGCTTCACGTCTCTGTCGAGRGTCTCCAGCACCGGATCAATGATGACCGCCTCTTTGGTGGTTTTATCTGCCAGCAGGTACGTGTAGGTGGAGCTCTCCTTCTCAAACAGCTAAACGGGAAAGAAAAAAAAAGTGAGTACAAGAATGACTCTGCAGAAAATTAGCTTCGGGTATCAACACAGGATGGGTAACAAGTACTACACGTCTTCCCTTACATCATCCTTGGATTGCACATTGTGTTGTAAAACTGGTTAAAATGAGGAATGTGTGAACTTTCAAGTACTACATGATGTTAAAATAACTTGCAATGTGCAGTATTATTGTTTAATGTTGCAACAATGAAATAAATCCAGATAAATCCACATTTTTCTCACTTTCTCTTCTGAAATCACTACCATCTTAACCAGAWGACTGTCAAGGCAAGTGTGTTTGTTGGACTGAGCAAGTTAGCAGCGCAACATTTATGCATGGTACCTAAAATATATTGGTCTATGATTTATTACMGTCCAAACATTAATTTGCTATATAGCAGGGGCAATAAATAGTCAATATTTTGTGCAGCTTTATTGCTCTCTTTTAGATTTATCACSCTTCGTGTTTATATTTCAAAAAATTAAATTGATTAAACCAGTGTGTGCTGAGTAATTACTTGCTTACTTGTCACAATGCATTGGAAAATAATAAATGGAGAGATTCAATGTTTTACATAAATAGCTCTGCAATCTGTAAATCAGGTGAAGCTACAAGCTGCAGGACATTTAAATGGTGTTGAATTACATCATTGTTTTGTGAACTGCTGCTTCCAAAGTAAACTGAGAATGARCACAAGCTGTGACAACTCTACCATTATGATAATAAGTCTGGTGCAGAGATGTGAGAGTAAAATTAATATTGTGTAATTGCTACGAAAACAGGTCATGTTAATGAAAGTAAGGCGTGTTTTTTTTTTACTGGAATAAATTTTCCAAAATAAACTCAAAGTTTTATTCGTTGACTTATGCACAGAGTTTGAACAAAACACGAGTTTTAGGGAACAAAATGATAATAGTGTTGCACAGATGCTAATGGCTAACAACTTCCTGCTAAACTTTACTTTCTGTAGCTGGAAGCACTTTTTTTAGAACCTGTTGATGCTGTCACGACAAACCTGCACAGGAACAAAAAAAGAAAAGTCAAAATGATGTGGACCTACTTGTCTGAACAGCAGTCCGTCGGTTCTCGCCATCTTGTAGTGTGTGACCTTCTTGTGTTTACTTTTTGAAGCGACTCATTGACAGAATTGACGCCGGGACAGGAGCGTCGTCTCTGGGCTGCAGCGGTGGAGCTGAGTCCGGCCCCCCGGTGTGTGTTTAGTCTTATAGTGTCAGAACCACACCCTGGTTGTTAGCCAGTCATCTGGGAGGCATTACACAGGCACCCTGAGGCAAAACACGYTGATTCATAACTACACTTCACACTAACAACTGCTTTGTCATTGTGTGTAGTTTCACTTCTTTAGTGGAGGCGGTTGTAAATTATTAGGTCAGGGGTTTGCAACCTGCGGCYCKGGGGCCACWTGTGSCTCTTTGGTCCCTCTGCAGTGGCTCTTTAAAAATGTGACCAAACATAACAGAGTAAATGTTTTTTTTTATACCCACTACAGAAATCAATTTGTATGTATATGTGATCAATAGTACTCATACAAAAGTAAAACATGTTAGCTCATGCTAGCCTTTTGTTTACTTAAATTATAAAACTTATTTTTCTCAAATC